CTTCCGTTGCTGTGCGAGCGAGATGAAGAGATAGATTTGTTTGAAGTGTGACAGAGATAGATTTCAGCACTCAACAACTTAATTGAATACAGAGTGTAGGGGGACGAATGGTCGATAAATTTTTATCGAAAAACTTGTTAGTGACTTTTTGCCTTATATTTTACTTATATTTATTCTTATCAATATAATTTAATATGAGAAAGAAATTACACTGTTAATGCTTCTTATAATTCAATTCAATATTTTAGTTCATTTTACATACATCTGAATAGCTTTTGCCCGCAGTTACACTCGCGTAATAAAAAACAAAACGTGAAACAAACTCACTCTCGCTAAAAAAGGCCAATTAAAATTAGCCATTTAGTTTTATTATTGTTCTTTTATTTAATTATCGACAAACCAAATATTTCTTTAGTATCTTGTTGTTTTTAGTAAGTTGTTTTAGTTTTAGTATCTTAGAAATAACATTATGGATTATCTCTTTATAATCACAGACTGACACTTTAATTTTGTTTATAAATATAGATAAAACATACAATTTTAATCAAAATATGTTATTCTATCACATCACTACGATCATCAGTTACATCGTTATCTGTCTCGCCTGTAGCATTAACACGTCCAGCCTCATTAAAATACCCTCCATTATAACTGATTTTCCTTATCTATTTTAAACTTTATCCCCTTGACTTAAAGCATCCGTATAATGGCGAAACAGCCTGTCAAAGAATTTTTCTGTAAATTGAATTTAACTCTAGACCCCTTGCTTTAAAGGATAGGTACATCTATTATTGTTGCCAAATAAAAGTGAGCTCTATGTGATTGTGTTAGGATCTTTAATAGTTTTATTCAGATTTCTACGTGATTGGGGGTTTATCTTGTCAGCACTTCGTGTGGTGATGTCCATTGCTCAGGCTTCAACGGGTCCAGAGATTAAAATCATCTCATTTCTGTCATTGTTGGGAAAATTGGACGAGTCTTTCGATGAAACAATTATATAGAAAATGAATTGTCACTTTTATGATCAGATTGGAATAAGATATACTTGGTGTCAGATGTGGTCGTGCTCTAGCAATTAGTATTAAATAAAATTGTTTTATAAGCTTGCTACGTTTGCTAGTTGGTATGTTTGTTGGGGTCAAATGAATCTATATTAGAAAAACCTCTTATCATACAGAGTTGATAATTTACATGTTGTTTCAGTTCGGATGACAACATATATTTTTTTTTTCTCCATTTAGAATTGGCTCCAGACAAAGCAAACCTTAAAAAGGCAGTGGTAGCCCAGTGGTAACGCGCTCGCTTGAGAAACCGAGTGAAGCGGGTCAAATCAGTCAAATCCCGGGTCTCGCACCTCTGATATTTTCATGTGCGAATCATTTCTAACATGATTACCACTTGCCTTACGGTGAAGGAAAACATCGTGAGGAAACCTGCATGTCTGAGAGAACTTAGCAAGTTTTCTAAAGACATGTGAAGTCCGCCAACCCGCACTTGGCCAGCGTGGTGGACTATGGCCTGATTCCCCTCGTACTGAAGGGAGGCCCGTGCCCAGCAGTGGGACGATAAAAAGGGCTGAATGCACAAAGCAAACCTTAACGGCTAGCAGTACAGACATAAAATTTCATATAGGTACGCATTCTATTATCATACCCAGTTCAAAGCCTTTGTTTTTACAAATAGTTTTTTTTTTTAAATTAATTTATTAACTAGGTACTAGCGATTCACCCTCGTTACGTTTTAATGGTTAGTTTTCTTATAGATGGGATATTTTCCCGCAGTAAAAAGTCTTATATGTTGACTTGGATAACCAGCTATCATAGCAAATTTCATCAAAATATGTCCAATGGTTTCCCAGATAGACAGACAGAAAAACAGAAATTCTACCAAAAATATAAATTTGGCTTCTGTACAGATAACAATGACTATTTCAATAAGATTTTCCAAAAAATACTTAATGTACAGATTCGACTCCGCTAAAATTTTATTATACCTATGTATGATTTTAAATTGATTGACATTATTAACTTGATTTTAGTACCTTCACTTGTAACTATGTAATATCATTTTTAAATTTTATTTAAATCTACTATTGTGTTGATTAAATTTGCTTATAATGAAACCCAACTGACACCATACTAATTTAATTCATCGAGGCGATCTGTTGATGGAACCAGGAGGTAGATAGTAAAACCCTCCATTGACTTCTAATAAAACCTTATTTTTTAATTTTTGAAATAATATTGTAAAATTGTGGGCACTGTCTGTAACAAGTATATAACGCCTTTGAGACATCTATAACCTTAGTCTCACCCATGACCATGATTGCTGTAAAGCATTCAAAACGTCGGGAACCAAAAATCAAAATAAATTCGCGAAACAATCCGAAAAGATAGTTTTATTTAAAAACTTCTTGTTTCAGTCTGTTTGATTCAAATGTACCTTAAGCTTATACCTGCATTGCAGTTTGTTAAAACTGTATATTTTAAATTATTTTAATTAATTATTTATTGCTATGTACCTATACATATAAATATTATAAAACGTGAGATAGGCATGTCTTATATATGTATGTTGTAAGATATCATTTCTAATGGATAAGCGATTTTTAGATTATATTATTAAAATAATAATTATATTTTCTTAGTTATCTTTAAAACGATAACTCCTTAACTGATATTTTTATTTTGAACACTTTTTGAATATATTTTTTATTAAAATACAGAATTAGTAAAAATATTTTCGAAATAAAACTACCCATATAAAAGATAAAACCCACCTTTGATGACCTTTGAAAACGCTTTGAAAACGCTTTGATGAAGCTAGTTTCTAAGCTAGTCAAAGCTGTGTACCTACCTCTTAGAAAAATCATCTCTACGTACTATTTGATAAAATATTATATCATTCTACGTTGTTCTGTATATATACGTTATTTGTATATTGATACGAGATCTATATTAAAAAAATAATAATATTAAAAGTACAATTGTAGGTCTTAAAAAGGGCCTAGAGAAAAATCTACTATAGTATGAGTATATCTCATAAGGTACACTCACGATAATTATTGTTATTCCTAGTCTGTAGGTACATGAAATAATAAAATTCTGAGCCGAATCTGCACCTTAAATATTTTTTTGGAAAATCTTGTTGAAATAGTCATTATTATCGATACAGAGGCCGAATCTATAGTTTTTAGAATTCCTGTCTGTCTGTCTGTCTGGGAACGCATCACAAGAAAACCACTGGACAGATTTTGATGAAATTTGGTATGATGATTGCTGGTTATCCAGGTCAACATATCAATCAATCAATCAATATAGGATGCTTTTTACTGTGGAAAAATATCTCATCGCTAGTAAATAATATATAGAATAAGGTCCTCATGCCTGGAGTCACTTGACATTGTACTGGACAGCTCAATAAAGAATAAACGAATATAGTTAAATTTGGGTAGTGTTTTGTTCGAAAGTCGGTTTAATTCATTAGCAAACCAGTAGGTAACCAGCGGTTACATCTCAGTCATGTAGCTTATAAATATAGGTATCCGTTGGAGGAAGCCCCAAAATGACAAAATCGAAATTGTATTTCATTCACACAACTATCATTTTAACTTGTTCATGTATTAAAAGTAATTTTAAAAACGGAAATTTCAAAATTACTTTTATTTCTTTAATGCAAAATCAGCATAGCGTAAGTACGAGTACCTACCTACATCGTAGATAACTAGCGACTCACCCTCGCTTCGCTCGGGTTCATTCCTGGGTAGCTTGCCCATACCATCTTCATCCCCATTTTCATCCCCTTAAGATATGATTTCCGGGATAAAACTATCCTATATCCTTCTCAGGGTCTCAAAATATCTTCTAACCAAATTTCCCATAAATCGGTTAAATATTTTCGGAGCTTATTCGGTACAAGCAAACAAAAAAATCTTTCCTCTTTATAATTAAAATAATAGATATACGTATTTATAAAAGGCGACTTTTTAAATATGTACAATATCTTATTTTCAATAGCTTAGTTTCATGTTTTATGTTGATTTAACAAATAAAAGTACTTTACTGTATTTATTTTTATTTTAAAAATATGACGATGTTAATTTAACCTAAAGATTATATGTTTTAATAAGCTTGATCTTAGGTATCTAAGAAATATAATTTAGATAAATAATCTCAGAATCCATCTTAAATATGAGTGGAAGAGACAGAGAGAGAGAGAAATTATCTACCTATATGAATATTGCCAAATCCAAGCAAATCAAAAAAAAAAATACAAAGTAGCGTCTTAATTATGTACATTTTATAAACTGTCAACTGTCATTCCAAAAGAGAATTGAAAAGATTACAACATAATGTACACATAAAAAGACTGCCACCTACTGACAACAAAGGAGAAAAGGCAACTGTTCACACCTTGAAATCGATTTACGTCACGAGAATAAATTGAAGCATTTCGCGTAAACGAACACTCGGAGCATTCAACGCGAAGTAAATAAAAAACTCGCATCCAGCCTCCAGATTCGCAACTATTATCTCACACTAACCAATACAAAATCGTCATTTAATTCCACCATTCTCATTGGTCGAGACGATCCCTGCATTCCCGCCCCTTTCACAGACCACGCCCTCCGCTAAGTTTTCAGAAAACTCTACCTGACTCTACCAAGCTCAGTCGTCCGTCGAGAAATGTCCCAACGAGCCTTTACACTGTAACCGCGACGCTTCTTTCCACTAAATCACATCTTATACCCTTATCATTGTATCAAGATAACACTATCTCTCTCTATCGCAGTGCTTTTGACAAACGCTTGATAGAGACAGCACATCAACTTTTAGGTGCGGCTAAGAAAAATTGTTTCGTTATACGTAAACGCGATCAGTATACGTCGGCTCACCTGACGTGCGGACGATCGTTAAGCTAGTATATTCAAATTCGTTAGCGGTTTTCGGTACGCGTTCCGTTTTGTGATGTGTGTGATGTAACATCGATATATGACAAACATGATGACTATGGACGTCGGTATGTACAACAATCAACAGAGTGGGTACAGCGCGGAATATTACCAACAGGGAGGCGCCTATCAGCCACCTTATGAGGGCTACCATGAGGCATACTATGAACCCACGCCGTACTACGAACCCATAATTCATGGGCAACCAACCCACGAAGCAACCCCAGTTATAAGTACTGATACCGGACTCTGTTACACGAATTTGGACTATGGTGAATTACAGCAAAACTACCCTATACATCCGCTTCCGCCGCACCCTGAAACTTTCAAACATAGAGAGGACATTCCTAGACCGGAAGAAATGCATATGCACGACCATAAGCTGGACAATCACTATTTAGAAACAAAATATAATATGCATTTTGTTGATGAATCTAGCATACAATATAGCCATGGATCTCCTTTACCGTGTGGGGAGTTTGACCCTTATACCCCTAAAGAAGAGTTCGTAGGGCTAAGAGATTTCCCTCGAGAGGACATGCAAAGCCATCACGTTGGTCACCAAACTCACACCTCCCACGCCACTGTACCAACGTACAAGTGGATGCAAGTCAAGAGAAATGTTCCGAAACCAGCCGGTAAGTGTCATATGTATAATTTTATAATCATTTTATGCTTAAGCGATAAAAATACATGTTTTTTTTCTATTAATTATAAAAATCGTTAATACCAAAGTGTTGAACTTAGTATACCTAATTTAAATAATTAACGATTTTTTTTATTGTACACAGTAAAATTAATTACTATGTACTTACATCAAAGCATATTAGAATTTATATTCAATCTAGTGACATCACTTGATTGCTTTCCACTAGTTTTTCATCAGCTTTGCTCCGGTTCATCCCTAGATAAACAAAAAGTACCTATATCTACGTCACTCTCTGGGCATCCGAATATCTTCATATAAAAAACAATAATAGTTCCCTGTGTATGAATTTTATTACGACTTCCCGTGGCTATGAGATTTTTCAAAGGTTAGCTTTTGTCATTTTCACAAAATTTGTCACAAAAAAACACTTTAATCCGTCGCACCGATTCGTCGTAAAGAAAAGACGAACAAACAGACAAATAAACGACTTCATAATATTAGTAAAGTATTAATTCTAATATTATATTTTGGTACAAAAATAAGTATGTATCTTAACTGAAGTATCCTTGAAAATATAGGATAGTGAGGCATAACACTAAATGGTATTTCCGTATCCGATTCCGATTAAGATTTTGTCAATATTTATTTAAAACATAAATTCAAACAAATTTATTCTTTTTTAAAGAATATTGTTTTATATTAAATTTAACTCCAGCATTTAGCCTTCTACTTGAGTTTTAAAAGTTTCCTTTCTAACTTATTTATAATATACACTACCGACTCACCCTCGCTCCGCTCGGGTTCGTTCCTAGTTAAGTTTTAACGTTTAGTATAGATTTCTCAGAGATGAGATATTTTCACGCAGTAAAAAGTACCTAACATTTTATCAAAATCCGTTCAGTGGTTTTCTCGTGATGCGTTCTCAGACACACTGACAGACAGACAAAAATTCTAAAAACTATAGATTCGGCCTCTGTATCGATAATAATGATTATTTCATTTTTTAATAAGATTTTCAAAAAACATATTTAATGTACAGATTCGGCTCAGTTAGAATTTTATTATATGTATAGATTAATGCTTTCTATAAGTAATCTACTTATTAACAACGATTGAATTGTATTCTAGAAAAAAAAAATAGCAAATTTTTTTTATTTATTTGTTTAATAAGGTTTGTTAGTGGATATTGTTTAAATAATAATAATAATGGAGCATAATCACGCATAACCTTTTAAAAGCAAACACAAATTGCACATATTGTGTCCGGTTTCACAATTATTAATATTAATTAGTAACGAAATATACTTCAAAAATATATATATATATATGTATAATATTATAGATTAAACATTAAAATAAATTAAATATAATAAAAATAACAATTTACAAATAATAATTAATTACAATTTAAAATAATTTAAATTAATGAGTACGTATAAATTCTTATTCTAACATATTTAACGTTATCTGCGTATTGTGATATTAACCCCTTATTTATATATTTATATTTGAAAACTTTAATCAATATAATATAAACTATATATTTATTCTAATATTCTCTATAAACAAAACTATTGCTGTGGAAATATTTATTATTAAAAAATCGTTTCTAAACCCAGACTAGCTATATCATAAAAAATTCATAGTGTGGTACCTAAATTATTCATTAAATAGTGCAATTATAATTAATGATTATAATATAACTGTAAATAAAAATACTATTTATTTAAAATACACAGTTTTGATAACTAAATAATCTGGCTTTTGACCAGTACAATGTATAAGGACTTCTCAAAAAGAATCAATGAGTCCAAGCTCGAACTATTACTCGAGATATTGTAGAGTCTATACTCTTTCTGTCTCCATCAATAGATGAGTTCTATATTTCAAACTAGCGATTCACCCTTACTTCAGTCGGGTTCGGCCCTAGCTTACTTCCCAATACAAACTTTCCTCCCCATGTTCATCCCTTTAAGGAACGATTTCTGGGATAAAAAGTATCCTATGACCTTTCTAAGACTTCTCAAATTATCTTCTCATCAAATTTCATCTAAATCGGTTCAGTAGATCCAGAGATTACCCCCTACAACGTCGCAAACTCGCAAACTTTACCTCTTTTTAATATTAGTATAGATTATTGCATTGTCGATTGATATTTAACCTTCATATATAACATAAATAGGTACACATTTCCTAACAAATTTCTCTTAAAAAGGTAGCGTCGACATGTGACGTTAAATCAAACCAAAAAATAAAATTCAAAAATCTAAAGTACTAATTGTCTAAACACAAATTCAAACTTACGCACACCATATATGTAAAGTAATTTCTTAAACAAAACAACGTGTGTTTTAATTTTGTCATCAGAAAAGCAGTGAACAAAAGTTATTTGAAAAAAGCACTTCAATTCAATTTCGAACTGTGCACTTTTTTTTGAGGACGCTTTTGAGACGCGATTGCTCGATTTCACCAACGTCACCTAAGTTTAAGGGATCCCCTAAGCATGGTTAGGGGGCTGTTAGGGGCCCCCCCAACGTGCGTTCACCTTGTCGTGGTGGGGGGGCTCAGTAGTGCCCGGCAACCCAACCGGGCGCGAAGCCATGAAACGCACAGGGAGGTGGCCCACTTCGGTGGGCGGTGAAAGGTGGCCCTCTTCGGTGGGCGGTGTACCATGTGGGTTGCTCCTGGTACTTCTCTGATAGCAGAGTGGACCTTGGAGCAACCCCATGGTTGTGGTGGTCTGCTTCGGCAGACCTGCCGTCGGGGCGTCGTAGTTGAATGCGTAAGCGATCCTGCGACGCCCCATTAAGACGGAGAAAGGTTTTGTTGGATTTTAGTGGGTAGTACTGGCTTTATTACGCCGGTGAGTCCCACACCTCGTGCGTAAATGCATTTCCCAACGTTAAAAAAAAAAGAAAAGAGGGGGCTGTTAGGGGACAGTTTCTGTTTCACCGACAGTTAGGGGTCACCTAAATATTAAAAGGCCCCCTAAATTTAGGTGCTCGAAATATGGGCTTAAAGACGATGGTAAAACGAAATTTAATTTAGGGGCTAGTTTAGGGGACTTTTAAGATAGGGATCCCATACGTAGGTGGTAGCTTATGGGTTGTTGGTGTAATCGGGCATAATTGTGTTAAATCTTGAGTTTTTGTATATCAATTGGATAGTAAGTAAAACGTTCCTTAAAAGATCTAGGAACTAAAGTACTTTAGATTTCATAAAATTTAGATTAGGCGGTGATATTTAATTATTGACAAATCGTTTATGTAAATTTATTGATTCAAGGCAAAACCAATATACAGAGGTTAAACAAATTAATAATGATAATTGATTAATGTATTAAAATTGCTTTTGACACCTTACAATAAGGAAGCAGACTATAATGGCCTGTACATGTTCTAATTTTACAGATAAAATTATAGCTATTTTTTCAGTTAGCACATATCATACGACTAACTGATTACCATCTACATACATAACGCAACGTGCTCGATATAACTTGTTTGTCAAAGAAATCCACATAATGTATATAATATTATGAATATAAAATTAATTCTGTCTGTTACCCTTTATAGTTTCACCGTAAAATCGCTGATTAATATTATGATAATTAGTAGGTCTTAAAAGGACCTACAATAGGCCACGATAGCACGAGTGTATCTCCTAAGTTAAATTCAAATTCAAAATATTTTATTCAGCATTAAATCATTACAATTTTTTACTGAAAGTCATGGGTCTGCTACCAGTTCGGTAACAGATGCCTCAGACCTGAGAAGAATTGGCGAAAGAAACTCTAAACTCACAACTCTCTAAACTCTAAACAACTTTTCTATTTAAAACGTAACGTAGTTTGTAATATAGGTGCTTTATAACTTTTTGCTCTATTTGTTATACCGCCACTTTGACAGTAGGTCAGTTTGTCTGTGTCAAAATACAGTAACACGAGGTATTTGCTTCGTGTCGGCGAGCGCGACCTCTGACACTACTGCGGCGTACAGACAACGCTCACTGACAGATATTATATGTATGTATGTTAGGGACTTGGATAGATTTAAACGCTTTCTAATATTATTTGTATTTGATCTCTTGAAACATTCATGTTTTATAGAAACCAGTTATCATATTTTATGAGTCTTCGAGCCAAAAATTATTTCTATGCTAAAAACTGTGTCAGTCCATGGTCCATTGCGTTAAAGCAGGTCCAACTTCAACAAACTCACAACAAATGACAAGCAACATTATAATATGTATATAATTTAGAATACATTTAAAAAAGTTGTGATCTAAACATAATTTAGTGATTGTGATGAGATCAATAATGTCCCTAATTTATTTTATTTATATAGTCAATGGAAATTAAATTTCATTTCTATTGAATATATAAACGGTTAGTATGATATATATATATATATATATATATATATATATATATATGTGTGTGTGTTTGTATATTAATAAAAAGTACAAATCTATAACTTTCCAAGACCAATACGTCTAAGTGTGTAGACACCCGCGATCCTTACCAACTCACGATTTAATGATCGCCATCACAGAGATAAGACGTCACAACTCACAACACATGACGTACGTTAAATAGACGTTAAAACAACACCATAAGTCAAGATCTTTCTCTTAATATTGTGTAACAGTTAAATATGAACAAACATAAATTCAAACTTCTAATGAATGAGAAGTTGCAGCCTCCAAAAATATTTAGAAAAAAAATTTTTTTTCCAAGTATTCTTCTTCTTCTCCCTGCCCATTTCCCAATCACTTGGTGTCGGCGCAGTACATCTTCTGTACTGCTGATAGGATTTGGCAAAAGTTTAACGACCGGCCGCCTGCCTGACGTCAACCCTCCTTGAGAATGCTATTGTCTCTCTTTGTCTGAAAGGTGTCGCGGAAGTCTTGTAATTATTATGCACTTTCGATTTTGTTGTCTTTTAAAACATTTTTTATACTATTACATAATTCTATAATGTTATTTTCGGATATATTTTAAAATAAATTTTGATTACACCATAAATTTTGTTTTGACGTCAATTTTTTTTACTTTACTTTTTTTTTCAAGTATTATACTAGATTTTATGGAGTGAAACTTCTTTGCGCGCATGACAGTAAAATTTCAAGGTCGCATCCGTCAAGCCGTCACGGTTGCCATAGTAACCACTTGCCTTAAGTTGCCATAGTACCTAACCGTTGTTATTTTATGAAAAACTAGCGTTTTCCTGCGGCTCCGCCCGCATAGTACATTAATCACCAACATATCATATACTGAAATCTTCTCCGAAACACGCTGCATCTTATGGTATGAGTATTATTCCGATCAGTTCAGTAGTTATCGCAGTATAACCGTACAAAAAAATCGGCTCTCCATTTGTTAGTAAGTAAATAGATGATATACGTATAAGATATTCTTTGCCTTGCTATCTTCGAAGATTACTATTTTTTTTAAAATAGTATGTTTACTAATTTGTTTTCAAATAGGTATGAAAAATATTTATAACTTTTTTTATTTTATTATAAAAAAAAATATTAAAAAAATTTATAACTAGAGGCTAAACCTCGCTTCATTCGTCTCTTAGAATATATGCGATAGATGTAAGATCCAACTAGATAGTAGATTAAAATATTATTCCCTCCATTTTGTGTGATATTCGTTAGAATTATATTTTTGTCTGAGTATAATATTAAAAGTTTTTATTAATTTATTAATTTTACAGATTTGAAATATAAAT